ACATAATACTTGTAACTATGATCGCCATATTTTACAATAAGTGTCCCTACCTTTAAAAATCGTCATTAAAATGACATACACTAGGCCTGGTGCATATTTAGAGATTAACTATTTTTGATTTCTCTTTCCTCTCCCTCCATAACTCTCACACTGTAGGCGTATCTGTCCATATATCTGTCCTACTGGCACATCTTCAAATAAGTGCCATATTTCCTTCACACAGCCAAGGTAGAGGTTAAAACTGCATCTTTTGAGATTAAATAAATCTAGATACAAGTTCTGGATTTTCCATTTCCCAATGTTTTTCCATGGATAAGTTATTTAAACTTTTCACACCCTGGTTTCCTCTTCCATACAATAGGAGGATTAGTAACATAGGCTTCCTTGAGCTTCTCTGAGGATGTAATGAAGCTTTGCATGAAATGTGTTTATCTTATAGTACATGCACCATAAATACTAACTAATCCTCCATATCCTTTGCCTGTGTCACAGGGAAGCAGAGGTATTCAGATGCAATCACAGATATTCAGATATTTAGAAAAGTGAACCATGCAAAAATTATTTTCTGAAGAACTTTCTTGCTGAGTTTTCAGCCCAATTCAGTTTAGTGTAATTTTTATGTTGGTACCATTGTGTAAAAATGATGAAGTCTTTTGTTGTTATTATTGTTGCTGGGAAATAATTCATGTATAGTACTGAGTGTAAATATGAATGTGCACAAGTGTAGCTTAGTGGAATTTAAATATGTATATATCATGAAACTCCCAGCTACACCAAGACACAGAACCTTCCCGGTCCCTTATGCCACTTCTCAAATAGTTTACATTTCCCAAAGGTAATCTGTAGTCTTCATCTGTCACCAAGTGAGTCTTTCAGAAAATATTTTAGTTTTACATCTAAAATTAATTTGTTATGGAAAATAACATTGCATGAGCTTGATTCTCTGAATCTGATCACCTTAAAATTAGAAGATGTGTACTTCAGTGCTCGTGGGGTCCATCAGACTCAGTCCAAAACCTCTGACTTCTAGCTTTGGGCAATGCCAACCAGTTGCCCTGTGCTATTTACTTGGAGGAAAATAAAAGTCCAAGAGCTATGGTTCTGCTTTCTGAGAGCTTTTATTCTAGCTAGAGAAACAAATACACCTTGAAATAGAACATGACAAAGAGCAAATGAGTTCATGAAAAGTGTATTCTAGAATCTCAGTTCTGTAGACCCTGCTAAATATTGATCTCCAAAAGGATCCTCATATCAGCCACACTTTGCTTGCAGGACAGGCCTATTGGTTTGGAGTCACTAGGAGGCTTGGTGCCTCATCGTCTGATCTGCTGTTTGTTTTTATGTGTCACACACATCCACAAGGCCTGGCAAAAGGACACATGCAAGCCAATCCTTAAGTATGTGCTTCAAGATGCCTCTTCAGGATGTGTTGCCCAAGTTCCTCCTGCAAGTCACCATTGTCCATGACACCATTAGCATGTTTTACACAGTCAGCATGCATGTACTCATCACTACTGCACCATAAAAACCTTTCTGTGGTCATCATTATTTGGGTGAAACTTGAATTTCTTTAAAAGAATGCTATGGTCTGAATGTGTCCCCCAAAAAATGGGATCAAAGAAAAGCATGTATTGGAAACTTAATTCCCAGCTATGTTGTAGGTGGGGCCTAATGGGAGGTGTTTAAATCATGAGAGCTTTACATTTATGAATGGATTAATACTACTTATCAGAGGGCTTGATACTACAAGTTCTGTCTCTTTCCCTCCCTTGCCCATGTGATGCCTTCTATCATGTAATGACACAGAATGAAGATTTCCTTTAGACTTTCCATTTTCTAGAACAGTGAACCATATAAACTTTGTTATATAAATTACCCATTCTGCAGTATTCTGTTATAGCACCAGAAAATGGACGAAGACAAATGTAGAATGGCACTTATCTCACTTATTGCCATCCAAGAAAATGCATGAATGTGACTGCATGGAACCAGCACTAATACGGCAGCCTCTTTATCAGATTTTTAATAACCTATGAGAAGAAAAAATGAGTCATTCTTCACAAATGGGCAAATTGCTGATTGATTACAAGGGCAAAGAGAAGGAGTAAGAAAATTCATTGCGCAGCTCTTGTGATTTATTTGAGAGTGCAAAAAGAGAAAACTTGATAAAGCACTGTAACTCTTCACATTACCATATATCATCAATCATTTTATGTAGTTGACTATTTATAATATTGACTATTTATAATATTTACCTATGTTGAAGTGAAAAAATAATACATACTGTAAATAGGTAAGTGTTTTTAATTATAGGTCATTATTTACAAAAAAATTATATTTGGACTGTAAGGAGGAGTCAAGATATTCTTTGGAGTTTGGAAGTTTAAGATTAACAGTATCATTGTGGAATTAAGTGAACTTTATAGTGGTGGGAATAGGAATGTTACCTACTAAATCCTATGATGGCACACAGGCTAATTCAGCAATGCAACTTCTGTGTACTCACTTGGAGCAGTGGCTCTCAGACTTCAGCATGTACTAGAATGCATTGTAGGTGCCACCACAGATCCAGTGGGTCTGGATGGAGCCATAGAGAATTTGTATCTCTAACAATTTCCCAGGGGGTGTTGATGCTGATGGTTCTGGAACCACATTTTCTAAAGCACCATCTTAGACAGATTCTGGTACATGCACAGAAGAAGACGTAAACATATTTTTTAAAATGAAACACTATTCCTAATAACTCCAAGCCATATACAACTCAAGAATCCATCAGCCATCCAATGGGAGAATTAACTATGGCATATTTGTTTGAGAACACTAGACGCGATCAAAGTGAGTAATCTGCAGCTACCTACAGAATTTAAAGCATGTTTCACAATGTTGGTGAATGAAATAAAGCAAGAAAGAATAACTCCACTAGAAGTCTGTCTATTTGTATCACAAGAGAAAAACATATACTTTACAAATACACATATACATAGTAAAAAATACAAAGAAAAGTTAGTAATTGATTACATACTAGTAAATTATATGGGATGAGGAGGAGGGTTTCATGCAGGTAGTTCTCCAAGAACTAGTGATAGTCTACTTTTTAACATGGCTGTTGGGTGCACCAGAGATGTCTTCTAATCATTGTTTAAATCATACATTTTAATTTATAAATATATAAACATAAAGTTTATATATATATATATATATATATATATATATATATCTGTGATACATTCCCTATATTTGGAAGCTTTTTTAAAAAGTATCCTATTTTAAAAGAAAATGTCCTCTATCCTTGATGTATTCTGGCTCCTTGACATTTTGATTTTTTTAATCTGCCCACTCTCCTTTAATATATACTCTGCTTGGTCAACTATTTAAATGAAGAAAATTGAAGTTTCAAAGAATAAAATTTTGTGACTCTCAATACATTCAATGATATGAATTAGCAATGAACAAAGCATTACAAAATAAAAAGAACTAGTTGGAGCACAATATGCAGTTGTATGTTTGATTGATTGCCCGTGTATATTTGATGTTGCAATAGGTCATCATTGTTAGATCAACTTTTAGATGTTGAAGATCTGACCATTTAAGTGATCAAAGAGATTTATAGCTGTTTGTCACATTATGAATGATTTACATAATTTTCTATACTCAAATCTCATGACTACACGGGTGAAAACTCTTAGCTGTTTCCATTTTGTAGGAGAAGGATGATTTTTGAAATCTTTGAAGAGAAGGAGAGTTGAATGGGACTGTTGACTGTATTGTGATGTTCTTTTCCCTCTGAAAATTCATAGAGGAGGATCCAGGAACATCCACGGCCCATGAGGATCCCAGGAATGCTCATGTCTATTTCAAAATGCTTACTCTGTCTTTTCCTGATATCAGAGTCTTGTTTTTAAATGGTATTTGGCTGAATCTCTGTGCTGCATTTTTAGTGTCTCCTGTAAAAGAATTCTTAATCCTCTTTTTAAAACTAAATTTTGTTAAGGGATGCACTGCACCTCTGCTATTTGATCACAGGGTGGATTCCCAGTTCACACCTCCCACATGCTAAACTGACAGCTGCATAATCCCCAAACACATTCTGGCAATGATGAATGCCAATATTTTGTGATGACATCCCAGGAATTTGATTGCAGCTGCCCACTGATATGAGTGGTATCTTTATTATTTGAGTTAAACAGGCATATTAAGTACATTTGTTGCAAACATTAGATGCTAAAAGGAACTATCCTCCAACTATTATAGTGAGAAACAACAACAATTATATTATATATATTATATTATATATATATATATTATATATATATTATAGTGAGAAACAATTAGCAACAACACCAGCATCCATCCATCAATGGAGAATGATTAACAAGCTATGGTGCCACTAAAGCAGGGAATACTATGTGATCAGCACAAAGAAGTGGGGATTTATGAACACGTGTCAGACTGGACTTTAAGCAATTTATGTGCATTGTTTCATTGAACTTTCACAACTACATGCCATTCTTATTTTATTGATAAGGGCTCTGAGACTTGTCCAAAGAGACACAGTCAGTAAGTGGTAGAAAAATAGTTCTGCAGACCACTAAATGCATTTCCTTAGCCAATTACACTGTACTATCTCATAAATATCAAAACTATATACACTGTTGACTCGCTCATGAAGATTTGGTTCAATTTGGACAACCATGGAAAATAGGACGAGAATTATATAATAGTAAAAGCAAACATATCTATATGTCAATGGTAATTTATATCTGTAGAAGGGAAGTGTCCTAGATTTCCCATGATTATAAAAAAATGAAAAGAATATAGCAAGATTCTGGTTATATATGCTAACCATGTCAGAGATTTTCATGTACTTAAAGAGCAGTTTTTCTACATAAAATGACAAATTATGAGCAAAGTAAGAGACAAGTCATACTGTTGCTCAAATATAATTATTTGTAATGTAAAATATCACTTATATGCTTATTTTTTACTCTTTACATTTACAGATGGACAAAAGAGAAAGAAATCTTTGAGAAAGAAACTGGATTCCCTCGGAAAAGAGAAAAACAAAGACAGAGGTAAAGGATGAAGTAACTAAAGCAGAAGTCTCTTCCATGGATTATAATGGTTGAATTTGGTTGGGTTTTTGAATCACATAGACTTATGTGGTTCAATTCTATTATGCAAACTGGATTAATGGAATGATGGAATATCATTAAGGGCTGTTTTGGTCTACTCTTCTGTGTTTGAATATCCCTGTGCTGAACTGATGAATTTAGCTGGTTTGAGCATAGTATGACTTTGGCCAAATTTATGGTTCCAATTATTTTGACCAATCAGCTATGCATTAAAAAGGACCTGGGTTGAGTAGCCATGAACAGCGTCACTAACGCTAACCAGCTGTCTGGCAAATTCAGACAGTTAGGCAGGGCTAGTTGAATGAGAAAGACTTTGTATTTGCCCACCATAACTACCAAGAAGAAATAGTCTCAGCCCCATGGGGTAACCAAAGATGTGCCATTCTCAGCATTTTCATGTTAGATTGTAGCATGCTCATTTTTCACCCATATGTTTTCAGACTTGCCTACTCTCATACATTTTGTGTCCCTTTCTATGCCTATTTAGAGAACTGACACTTTAGCCACCCTTTCAGAGATATTTATGGTCATTTTTAACTAACATTCTCTGAGCCTGCATAATGGGCACCTGGCCTCCATTAGCGGAGTCCATTTTCGTGGCTTATTCTTATGGTCTCATATAAGATGATTGTTGAATGGTGTGATTGTATGAATACATTTTCATTTTATGTGACACAGTGAATGAGTGTGGAATGAGGATAAACATGTTTCACCTTTGAACTCTTTTCCATAGTGATTGAATCCCTGCTTGAAAAATGATAGAAACAGTGAAGCCAAGGGTTTTAAAAATAATGCATTCTAATCAGTCCTGGACAAGAGCTATTCCACACCACTGATACCAGTCACTACACCTATGTGTTGAACTGTGCCTTAAGAGTCATCACATTAGTTCCTGCTGTTTGGTGATGAAGAATTCTGAAGAGTAGAAAACCATTTTTTTTTATCTTAGGGGGGTATTTCTCACCCTTGTTGTTATTGGCATTTTAGATGGGAAATATCTTTCTGATAGGAGTTTTGCTACTTATTGCAGGATGCTTAGCAGCATCCATGGCCTCTAGACAGTACATGACAGCAGGACTGCCCCAAGCTGAAATACTTCCAGCCATTTCAAATGTTTACCTTAAATTGTCATGAGGAAGTGAAACCATCAATCATGCCTACCCTGGACTGTACAACAGAATCACTTGTGAAACATTTAGAAATTCTATGCCCAAAAATTTAGGGGTGCATTTTAGAGATACAGTGCTTGCCCAGGATGCATGAGTCCCTAGCAAAAACCAAAATAGCAATCATCAAAAAAACAAAAAAGCAGTCACAAAAAAAGAAAGAAAATAAAATGCCCAGTCCTCAACCTCAGGGCATATGAGTCCATTGATCTCATGTAACTTCTAAAATGAGAACCCTGGCCTGCATTAAGCAGGATACTCAGGAGGCCATGTCATATCCCAGTAGACACTGTTCTGGAAATAATGAGGGCAGGGGACTGTCCAGTTACATGTTATTGTCTGAAAAATATTGTATTATATTCGATTGGTTGATAGTTATTACTCTTATTTTCAATGTCTTGAATATTAGTATCCAGCATCAGTCTCCTAGAAGTTTTGCTCATTCTATTCATGCAGTATCATGCATTTACTTATCTAGATTAGAGAAATTTCTGTATGAATACTGTATTTAAGGAAGCACTTAGATAGGTACAGTTTCTTGCCTTATTCCCTGCAGGTACATTCTAAAGATGGTGCACAGAAATCCAAAGCCATGGCTAGTTCTAAACCTCATATACAATATTTTTCCCATGTATACATATTTATCTATGATAAAGTTTAATTCATAAGTATACCCAATCAGAAGTCAATAAAAATGACCAATAATAAAATAGAATGATTATAACGATATACTATAGAATAATCTATCAGAGTCTGGTGATACACACCTGTTATCCCAGCAACTCTGTGGAGCCACGGGAGGAGAATCTTAAGTTCAAACCCAGACTGGGCAACTTAATGACTTATTGAGACCCTGTCCCAAAATTAAAAATAAAGAAAAGGACTGGGTATGTAGTTAGTTCAGCGTGAAAGCCCTTGGTTCAATTTCCATTACTGCAAAGCATAAATAAATTTATTTTTATACTTACTTAAAGCTTATGAATTGCTTATTTTTGAAATTTTCTATTTATTATTTTTGGACCACAGTTGATTATAGGTAACTGATACCAGGGAAAGTGTAGTCACAAGTAAAGAAATACTACTGTACTAATAATATATTATCTTTTACAGTTAGTTCATTCTAGAATAATGGTATTGATAATTGATCTATCAATGCTTACAGGGCTGACACTAGATGGTTCTTCAAAAAGTGCCAGCTTCAGCTGGCCTAAGCAGAATGAGCATTTTTGCAGAAAGAAGAAGGTGTTTGCATTCCCTCGACAGAGATGACAATGATGATGATGATGATGATGATGATGATGATGATGATGTATTGTATGTGTGTGTGTGTTCTAATGTATACAAACAACAAGAGGCGTGAACATGAATGACCTGGAAGGAAGGCCATGGAAGTAATTGAGCAATACCACACTTGGCCTCTACACATATTTCAGGCCAGGTCATATTTATGCAGGTCCAGTAGAAGCTCTGCTACACAGGGAGCTGACTGGGGAAAGGAAGGCAGATCCCTGTGGTTTCAGAAAAAAACACATCACCCATTTAACTTGATGCATTTAACATGCATCAAGCTTCATGGCAAAAGAAGCTTTGTTTCTATATATAAAGTAGCTTTATATATCTAGTAGTTTTTATATATAAAGCTTTGTTTTTATATATAAAGTAGCTTTTTATATATAGTAGTTTTTATATATAAAGTATCCTAGGCTTAAGTGAAGAGTAATTGCATGACATCTTTTCTAAACATAAAGCCCCATTTATGTCAACACTGGGAGCCATCACATGGATGGCCTGGGAACCAAAGCATGAAGTGGTGACATGCGGGTCTGGCACAGTTGTAATTGGTTCACATTATTTCCTTTCCTTTGCATATTAGCATTTGGGTTCCTAACATCTGCACATGTGAAAAGCGATCATCATTTGAATTCAAGAGTAAATGGAGGAAAACAGGAAACTCTAAGTGACCTTTTAGATTAGGCCATCTAAAAATAAAAAGGGGCAGCTTTTTAGAGTCAAGTTGCTTGCCCAATAATGATTCATGAATGTTTGATATGCCACTTTATTAATTGATTCCATCAAAATGAATCATGGTCTGTATGATATTTAATAGTCTTGATAAAGTAAACAGCAGAGCATGTGACACTTCTGTGTCCCTGCTGCAATTTCAGCAGCATCCACATAACTTTTGATTTCCATGTAGACACTAAGCCAAAATTAACACCAGTTCAAAAATGTTTTCAAATTAAATAGTTCCAGCTCCTTAATTTCTCATAGTGTAATGAAAAACATTCTTAAAACTTATAAAACTTCAGAAGATTTCTTTCTTGTGTCAAAAAGAAATCAGTTTTTTTGAGGGAAGATTTAATACAAGCTACCTTGTTTCAGAGATAGTACTTCCGGGTTAGAGAACATGGGGATGAGGTTTTACTGTGGCATGACTCAGGGAGCTAGCGCATTGTCAGATTATTCCATATATTTATCAACATAAAATAAGAGAAGAGTTGAATTCTGGTGTTTTTCTTTATGCTGAAGTCTATGCCATGCTTTATTGGTATTCACAGTCTAATATGTCATTATAACTGAGCTTTGAAGGAACACTAGGTAAGAATAGTTGTTACATAATATTGATACATACTTCTGCAGTATATTAAACAGAAGTAGAAAAATCAATTATCACCGTAGGTAAATGCTCAAAGAAAACAGGTTGAACACAATCACTGAGTGCTATTAGTAGAGAAGAGAAAACCAGTGGAAATATGGTTCCAAGGAAGGCTAGGAAGGAGCCAGGTCACATAGAACTGTATAGGTCATGGTACAACTGTGGGTCTATATACTGAATTCAGATACCATCAAAATGGACTAAGGAAAGAATGATGTTTTAAAACGGATGGCCAGGGTAAGATACAAACTTGGGAAAGAGTGTGACCCCATAGTAAAGGGAGGAAGGCTAGTTAGACATCTATTTAGGAGCCCAGTAGTAAAATAATGGTACCTTGGACTGGAATTGAAGTGATGATGGAAGTGGAAAGACATAGATAGAAGTAAGAGTTCACATGAGGATGATATGACAAGATGATGGAGTGGAAATGGGATGTGAGAAGGAGAAAAGTACTACTCAGAATTCTTATTCTCTCCTGTGAGGAACAGAGACCATTGCAAATCTGAGTCAGACCTGGGAGGGGAAGACACAGAATGAGATGCCTTAAGGATGTTCCAGTGTCAAGGAAGGAAAAGTGGTTGATGTTCAGTGGAAAGGTCCAAGTCTGAGGTAGGAATGAAGTTTTGAATTCTGGTGAAGATAAGGTCCAAGATGAGACCAAGGGAGTGGATGATAAAGGTACCCTGCATGAAAAGATAAGAGAGGAGGAGACCGAGAAAATACAAAGACAGAGACAGATAGGTTATATAGGTGAACAGCTAAATCTCTAATGACAAGTCAAAGTGAGTGACAATAGAAGATTACAAAGGTCAGAGAACATGAGGAACCATGTAGTGGTGCATTTCTGCCAGGGCTGGGCGAGGGAAGGTCTGGAAGAAGCAAAGAGTCGAGAGCAAAGAGAGTGAGCAGAGACCGTCACCCTTAATGAGAATAGCAGGGAAACAGGATCCCCAGAGAACACCTGCCATGGATGACAGCATGACGTCTGTCAGGCTCAGCACAGTGGGCTTTGGGTGTTTTCCTTGTCATTTAAAAAGCCTGTTAGGAAAATGGATTGGATTCTGAGAACATAATGCTAAGTAAAGTAAATCAGACACAGAAGGTTAAATATTTCATGGTTTCTCTTCCATTAAAAATCCAAAATATAAATAATTTTAAAATGAAATAAAAAGAGAGATGAAAAACAGAGAGGTAGTTTTTTGGAGATGGAAAGGGGATCTGAGAAAGAGAGGAGAGAGAAGAGGAGTAAAAATGATCAAGATGTGACGTGTGTATATACGAATTCCCCAAAATGAATGGAATTATTATGTATCACAAACATGTACTAAAAGTTAGTTTTAAAAGCCTATTATCAAATTTATTAGCTGTTGTCAGCACAGGGTCTTGCGGTTCCTTTTTTTCGCCTCATAAAAGAGCTTTGAATTCAGGCAGGCATGTATGACCACTGCCATTTTTAAACGAGTTTTGCTCAATAGACTTGTGGTGAGTTCTCGATGTCATAATCAACATATTTTAAAGAAGCAATAATATTCAGGAATCCTTCTTAGAATTTTATAAAGACAAAATAGATACTGCATAACTTGGAGCAGAGAGAGGTCTCCTTTGCAAAAATTGTGAGAATTCTCAGGGAGACTAATAAGGAACTAAAGAGACTATCAAAATTCTACCATTGAAAGGATAAACACGGCCAGAAAAGAAAGCCTACTAGAAAGAAATGAAAATCTGTTATGGGTGCATCTCTTGAATGAGAACAAAAGAGGAATAAAAACTGAGGAAAAATGACTTCACGTATTTCATCTGTTTCATTTGTATTCAGTTATTCTAATTTACAAGTAGAGTGACAGATTTTCAGATATTAAAAATGACAGATTCCAAAGGAAACAATATTTCTTCCTTTTTCCAGAGATATGAGAAATCTTTATACAAGTCTGGTTGGGTTTCCTTATATGGAAAAATGGCTAGAAGAGGACTCAGTATTTCCCATCTTTGTGTGTGTGTGTGTGTGTGTGTGTGTGTGTGTGTGTGTGCACATGTGCGCGCTGGGGATCAAACCCGGGGCTTTGCACATGCTAAGCAAGTGTTCTATCACTGAAACATATCCTAGCCTGACAGTCCTCGTCTTACAGGAAATCCCTGCCCCACATATGTATACACAAGCAGCCATGTCACCTGATACATTTCAATGTTTTTGGTAGTTATTGTCTCCTGTTTGTTTCTGTATGTTTTGTGTGGCTGTCAGACTTACTATACACATGTTCCTAGACTCCCCTAGTCTTTTGGAAGTAAGAATATTTGATTATTTCTTCAGTCAACATAGTGCTAGCTTATATAATAAGTCTTCAGTGTTCACAGTCAGCAGACTGGCACTGTGTCCTCTGCTTCCTAATTTTGCTAGTAGCAGAAACAGCCTTTTGTCAGAAGTGAATATCACATTTGGAGACATTGTCCACATTGATCACTCAGAGGAGAAATACCCAAATTTTATTATCGTGTGTCACTTAATGGGTTGATAGAGAATGGCAAGTGCCACTGAAAATCCCCAAATGGAGTTAGAATATTTTCCCTTCAAAACAAATTCCATGTTTTGATAGAACTAGTGGTTACTGCCTTTTAAGTAGTATTTCTGCTCTTAATGTAGACTTGGCCATTAGCCTACTTAAAAATGTTGCCACAAATCAAGGAGGAAAACCTTTAAAAGCTTTTTCCAACCTGATTTAATATTTGGTTTTTTGTTCGAAGAACAACCTTAGAATTGTTTTCCCTTGCTTGTTTTGGTTTCATTCTTAGGGCTTATAAAAACAAGAGGCAAACCCCCAATTTGCTGCTGCTAGGAGATGTAATTTTGAGTCTAATGGGAGTAATGCACATGATTGAATTATTGATGCTTTTTGGCATGAATCTAAAATATTGTCGATAAAATGCCTGGCCCTAAGGATCCAGTGTATGTGTACAAATGGGTTTACTACAGAGATCCAGAATGCAGCTTTTCATGTATATGTCCATTATATTCCCCATTATATTCATCATTACATTCCTTCCCAAAGTGGGCCCCTCTAAAAGATTTAACAAACTACACCCTAAGCCTCTCACCAGAGATACTGTGATGCCGTTTACTTCTACACATAGCCAGGAAAGTGGATTCAGTATCAGTCATGAGCATGACGACATCGACACAGCTGGCTGGAGACAGGGTGGGGGATGAGGAACATACAGTGGGAAAAGAGCAAACTTCTTCCCACAGTCCCCAAGTTGTTCCTTTGTCTCCCGGCTTTAATTCTATGTACTGCTTCTTCCTTTGTAAACCCCAAATTGTTCCACTTAACTGAATTTTAGTCTTAGTTTCATGCATCTCTGCGTTATAACACATGATAGTCACACTATTATAATGACTTATGTGTCTAACCCTGCACCTCCCCATCCTACCTTATGTACTGAACCCCTCATGAACAAGGACTGGGCCTTTTATAAATGTTGTAGCTCCCTCACTTTATATAATTTGACATGGCACATAGTAGGTGTACAACAACAAATGCTTGTTCAATAAATGGATAAATGCAATCTCTTTGTCCTTTGCAGCCTGTAGGGGCTTCTGAAACATATAAATAGAAGACTAACAGTTTACAAGCTGATGTATTCATAGCACAAAGTATTATTTACTGTTTGTCAGAAATGTCACACTTGTCTGTAATGTTATTATCTTTAAGACAAACTTGAGGCACATTGAAAGAAAAAAACCTACATTTTGATATTTCCAAAATATGTACTTATGCCTACTAGCTTTCTTGATTGAAATGGAAATTTTAGCTATTCTGATAAAAATGAAGTCATTTCTGTATGTCGATTGATAAATCAGTTCCTCAGAAGCAATCGTTTGAATATGTCTGCCTTTAGGTCTGAGACAAATGTGAAGGTTCTTCACTGCTTGGGGCAGTCTCTGAACAGGAATGTCTGTTTTTTTGGTTCCAGAATTCATCCCACAGGCATTTGGAATGCCCTTGTCTCAAGTCATTGCCAATGACAGAGCCTATAAACTCAAGCAGGACTCGCAGAGGGATGAGCAGAAGGACGCATCTGATTTTGTGACTTCCCTCCTGCCGTTTGGAAATAAAAGACAAAACAAAGAACTCTCAAGCAGTAACTCATCTCTCAGCTCCACCTCAGAAACACCAAATGAGTCCACGTCTCCCAACACTCCAGAACCAGCTCCCCGGGCCAGGAGAAGGGTGAGTTGGCCTGCACTGTCTCAGACAATGATGCCAGGAAAATTCAAGATGTATCAAGTTGTCCTTCGATAGTTTCATCATGAGAAAACTGGATATGTGGTTTGTGTCCATTTCATTCAGGGAGAATTTGCATTTGGTGTACAGCCACTTAAACACCTTGAGATACCTTGAGGCGACAGCTGTCCTCTGTCTCCTCTCAAAGCAATACATTGTGTGTCCCATCATTGCTACCCATATCCCCCATGGCATCCTGAACATTCTGCATTATGACACAGGCATTGGCCTGTCATCTTCTGCTGTCTTGCTAGATTTTCTGCTGGATGTTAAGACTTGAGGAGAGAGTATGATGATTTTAACACTTCATTACCAGTCTGAGAACAAGAGTAGCCAAACATCTTTGCCATACGATTTTACAAGCAATGAGATTTTCCCTAACATTGGAGCACGTTTTTCCTGAAACAGAACCATAGATTAATATATGTAGTGTCTTTCAAATCAAAACTATAACAATATGGCACCAATTATCAAGGGAGTACTATGTTCTTGGCACAGTGCAATTTGACATTCAAATATGAATCTTGAAAAGCTGAGGTTTTGTGGCACATTGGCTGGTGATTGACTGAGTGAATTGATGAGCCTCTCTATGTAAGACTTCAGATTTCTGGGTCACAGGGAGATCTCTCCCCTTCATCTAGCCTGGAGAGCCTGACTCTTTGCCACCTCCAGCCACTGAAGACTGCCCTAGTTAAAACTTGTGACACACCTACAACTCACATTTCCAAATCACCTACCAACACTCAGAACTTCGCTAAGGTAAAGCAAATCTGGAGCCATTTTTTTCTTTATGGTATTGACTATATTTAAAAACAAAGAAATGGGAAAATTATGAAGTATTTGAATAAGCACCATGAGTTTGTCCTCTTCTAAGCCTATCGTTTCTCAGATTGTGTATAAACCCATATGGCAATGATAACAAAACTCTAAACTCCAGCTTTCTTGGGATCTAATACTAGGCAATGCACTTCCCAATGCCTTTCTCCTCTCCATGCCCAGCTAGACACCAGCAGCTAACTTTTCACTGCATTCTTCTTCCCAGAGGGGTGGCTAGAGCACACAAGGTCACCACTCGCAGCATGTTAACCCCCTTTCCATCTTCCAGTACATCTGTCTGATGAGGGCTCTCTCTAATAGCCAGAGGCTTCTGGAACATGCAAATGGCAGGAAGATTATGTCACCCCCCGCAAGAGACTGTCCTTAGTGATCCCTGATACTTACTCTATAAATACCTGATTCCCTCACTCCTTCAGAGGGCAAGCTCTGAGGTGCATGATCTACACTGTCTCCCAGAGTTCCCCTGGGACATGAATTCTAGCTGTCCAAAATGCTAATGGGCTGGATAAGCTCCTTTCATTGGCTGTCCTCTTTTCCCTGTCTCATTTCTCCACGCCTCCCACAGGTGCTCTCCGGGACCACCTTTCTAATGAAGCACTTTGTGTTGTTTCCGCAGAAAAGTAAACTAAGACTGCTTTGTGGAATCTTCTTATCCTTAAAATGTACTTCTTAGAGCCATAGTTGAGACTTGTTTTTTTTTTTTATCACCAGACTTCTGACTTTACCTCATTCATTGAGTATGTGATTTTTTTTTTCTTTTTTCAAGAAATGAAGTGGTTGGGTCAAAATATTTTAATTATATGTTTGCCATCTCTTGTGTTCCACTTGGAAAATTTTGTCTATTGTTGAAATTGTAACTACCCTATCTAGTTAAGATCTCCTAATTTTTTCAAAAAGCATTTATTTTTTTTTCCTTTATAGGATACAAGCAAAACAACTAAATCAAGCAGTATTATTTCGAGAGTGATAAATCGGAGCAAAAGCATTTATAGGGTAGGATCTGGAGGCAGCTGTTTTTCTTTGTCTGTCCTCTTGTTCAAACCCGTGCATCGTTTTGCAGGGCGCCATGTCAGTGGATTCGATCACTGATCTGGATGACAACCAGTCTCGACTGCTAGAAGCTTTACAACTCTCCTTGCCTGCTGAAGCACAAAACAAAAAAGAAAAAGCCAGAGATAAGAAACTCAGTCTGAATCCTATTTACAGACAGGTCCCCAGGCTGGTGGACAGCTGCTGTCAGCATCTGGAAAAACATGGTATGTAGATTGTGTCTCAGCCATCAGTAAGTCAAAATCATTCCTTTAAGCACCGGAGTTCACTTCTGTGTTCCTTTGACTGTGCTTTGGGCTTAAATTTCCTTTGTGAAGAAACTGTACCTGTATGTATATGATTGTTTGCTTAAGAGATTACTGTGCTCAACAAGATTATTGGAGGGCAGGAAGTCAGTCTTATGATATTTGGACTGCTCAGCCCCCACAGTTCCTCAGAAGTGATGCTGGCAAACCAGTTTAGGAAAGGGTCATTTCTATTGGGTTGGATCTATGCTTAGGGCTCCCTTCAAATAGACCAGAGTCACCAGAGAATATCTTTTTATGCGTTACTTACATTTATATTTTATATATTTTATACACACATATCTTTTTTATACATTACTTACAGTGTTTCCTTTAAAAATAAAAGTCTAGGTTCTTGTTTGGTTTTATTATGTGTGAAGGTATGGGTAGCTATTTTGAAGGAAACAAGAGACATTAATGGCAGCCATTGCTGATTTCTTGTTATCCTGTTTTAAACTCCTGTAATGCTTTCATTCTGTTGTTTAATTGGCTTTGTTCTGTTTTGTATTCTTTGATTTTATTGTGTGTGATGGTATGGACAGCTATTTTGAAGAAAATGAGACATTTGATGGTAGCCATTGTAGATTTTCTGTTGTCTTGTTTTGAAGTCCTGTGTTGCTTGCATTGTTCTGTTCTGATTTGCTTTATTCTGTTTTGTTTTGTTTTGTTTTACGCTCTTTGAAATAAAAAAGTTAAAAATAAAAATTAAAAAAAGGATTTGAAAATCATTTAGGGGAATAGAAAAATACCTATTTTTATAAAAAAGTTACATATGGCTATTTGTAGTTTTGTGGAAGATGTCCACTTAAATTTTCTCCACAGTCATCCCTTTGCAACTCAGTTCTAGTTAATATGAATAGTGATGAACAGTTCTGCACATTTTTTTATTTTAGATTTTTGACTCCTCAAACTGCCATGTCCATGCTCTAAATTAGTTTGCTATAGTATTAGCATTCATTTTATGGACACGGAAAAAAGTTTCACAAATGCTTCTTATAATTCTAAAAATAATACACTTACTATAACAAAAAATGAAAAACTGAAAATAAAGAAAATTTTGAGGTTACCCTACAGGCATGATAACTATTAATATTCCCATCTATCTCTTTGTAATAAAAATGAGCCTATAAAGCTGTTAGATTTATCTTTCTTAATCAACTTGTTATATATGGAAATAACTGGATAATGGAGTGACTTAATAAAACTAATATGTTTAATAACCATCTGTTTACACAAAAATTTTTATGTAGATTCTTTCATTGTCTTTAGCTTATTTTTCACATATCTGTATTTTACTTATGTACCTTGAACTCTTATTATATATGTATGGATTTGGGCCACAATTTTCTTTCAAGGCAGAATTCTTTTCCAGGTTTTCATGGTATTTTGAAAAGACAGCTCCAGAAAAACTAAAGACATTCAAATCCAAACAAATAGTCTAACATTGGTTGCTTTAAGCCAATGGAAAGAGCAAACTTCAAAAGCATTTCTTTCATAAGACTTTATTTGGTGGTTTTTGCAATGGTTAGCAGAGGACAGAAATCACTTTAGCCTTATAAACACTTGTCAATGATTTTTTTCATCCTGCCAAAAATTGGTCCTGGACAATTATATTGGTCTCATCTGTATTCTCTACCTAACACTTCTCTACCTAACACTGTGTATCACTTGTATTTCATTCAAATGCTTTTTGTACTCTTACGTCAAAACTCCTGAAGTATCTTCAGTTGCCCAAAATCTCCATTTTCAAAAATCATTTCCATTTCCAAAGAACCAGAAAAAAAAATACTTGTAAAACAGAGAATCAAATTATATTATGTCTCTGGGATTTAGTCTGATTTCGGGGTGGGTCTGATTCCTCATTGTGCCTGCCCTGGTTTCTTAAAGTTTCTAAGCCTGACCCTGAGGTGCATTTGGGTCCGGTTTCCATTTTAGTTTCTGATAAAAAGGAAGAAAAGTGATCACATCAATTTCTGGGGCAGGACACAGCAAAGTCCTTATTCTTTTTTTGTTTTTTTTTTGTTTCTTTTTTCAGATTGTTACCTTTTCAAAGTCCACCTGTTATTACCAGTGACTGTTTTAAGTCATGGTTAGTGAATGCCTAGACTGTACCTTGTCTTTGAGGAAAATCACTGTAGAGCTATGGCAGAAAAAGGGCATTAGCTGTCTAAAGATTCTCATTTTTTCTCCCTTAAAAGAAATTAAATTTAAAACCTTAAAATAGAGTAGCATATAGACAGTTGGAGTGCAAAGAAATTATAGCAATCAATATCTAGTTATTAACAGTTATTTTTAAATCACAGTATTATTGAGATGGAAAAGTACTGTAATTGATGAAATTATATCATAGAACTGGGCATTTCTGAACAGCCTCGGGAAATCGAGCCAAATGAATAGTCTCACTTGTATAGAAAATCCCCCCCCCATTCGCTATCTCACTTCTGTAGAAATCCAAATACTCAGAAACTATCTTAGAATAAGAAAGTGGGAAGCTAAATTTGAAATTGCTCAGACTGCCTATTATATTAAAACTTTCTACATTGCCCATAGGAGACTCATTCAGTTCATTCAGGGTTTCTTTATGCTGTATAATAGGATACTTCAGATACTATTCGAAGTATGATATATGCGTTAGTTAATTGATTCATTGCACAACTTTCAAAGGGGTATTTCTCAAGCTCATTTTGAGACAAAGAAACATAATTATGCATTTTATTGTAAGTGGTGTGATTTTCTTGTTCTCGAGTTCCCAGAGAGAAAACCAATAAATTAGTTTGAAGATTGGCCTCAGTTATGAGGTAGACAAATCAATGTCAGTAACAAAGAGGAGACAGAAGTCCTTTGGAAACAAAATCCAACCAACTACCAAATGCAAATATGTGCTGTAATGCAAATCAACAATAAACAGCTTTTCACCACAATTCTGTCAAATTATTCTGGAATTCAGGATAACACATTTAATATAGAGTACTGAAAAACGGGATATTTATTCATATCATCTTTTCTAATTAAATTCCCTGAAAAACCAACAAGAATTATTACTATGGCAAGACTATAAAACAAACACTAAAAAATCTGTTAACAATATAAAAGCAATAGTCAATTACTATAAAAAACCATTCATATGTATATCAGAAATATATACTCAGAATGTCTGTGATGATATGCAAGGCACTATTTAAACAAATTGATGTTTACTCCATTTTTGGATGGAAAAATTGGTGATATACAGATTTAAATTCCATCCAAATCAATTATACATCATACTATTCAAATTTTAGGGGATGGTAGACGAAGGGTACCCAGATGAAACAAGATTAAGCAAAACGCCTTCTCCCCAGAAAAAAACAACAATCCTTATTCATATCCTGGGAATCTGATCTCTATTCAGGCACAGCTGAATCCAAGAATCAGATAATGCCATGAGCATTCTCTTTTTGATGGCTTCGTAGTTTTGATGGTTAATGGCTCCCAGAGAAAAAGGAGAATCGTTTGGACATTCTGAGCACCTAAAGGAAGTACACAATACCTCTTGCATTCTCACCCAACTGAACTAAAGGAAACTCTGGCTTTAACTTTCAACTTATATAGAAAACAAGGGAAGAAAAGAAGATATAAATGACACCATAGAGTGTCAAAAGTCCAGATAGTGGGAATTTAATGCTTTTTTGTGTGTGTATTGAGGACTTAACCCAAGGACTCACTGACCTACAACCCCAGACCTTTTTAAAATTTTTTATTTTGAGACAGGGTCTTGTTAAGTACCCAGGCTGGACTTGACCTTTTGATCTCCTTACATGTTATTTCTTCATCTAACAAATTACTATGGAGGACAAAAATTAGAAGGAGGGAGAAAATAAGAGACTAAAAGGCATATCGATCATATTACATTTTGTGGACATTGACTAGAAATTTAATGCTACTAAAACTAGAAAATTTCTAATGTGTGATAGTGACACTGTCTTTAAAAAGATCTAATTTTAGAACACTATTAATGTTTTAGTTTGGATAATCCTTTTTTAATCAATTGATTAACCTTTTAATTCCACATCTAGAATATTATCCTATGACAATGAAAAATGTGATCAAAGGCATCTACACAGAATTGTTTAGATTAAAGCCATTTATCATAGCAAAATAAGCTTGTGTTTTGGGGAGATTTATATACCATTCCGAGGTGCAAGCAAAGAAAATTGTGCTCATTTATATAACAGAGTATTTTGCATCCATTTTCAATGAGAATTATGGGAAATTGCTACAGACTTAAAAATTCTTATGAACTAATATTGAAATAAGGTGGTAGCATTCTCCCTGTTGATAGACAGATAGATAAACATATACTGTATGTATATACACATAGCATATACATAGTATGATCTCATGTCAATATGTATTTTTTGTGAGGAAAAGAAATCAAAAATTTAAATGATTATATATCAAGTATGTCTTAAGGTACTTTTTACATTTTTCTTTATTTTATATGTATTTTAAGAAATGTGTTTTAATTATGATTACACAAATAAGAATTATCTACTTTAAAAGTAATAAAGAGTAAAACTCCCTGTAAGAGTCATGTTTCTGTAATTACTTCAAGCAATGAAAAAATGTTAAGATACTTTATTCTGTATGGAAAAAATTGTGGAAAGAAATAATATGACTTGGTAGTTTTTCATAGAAATGTTTAACAAAGTAATTTTGGTGCTCAAAAAACTGACATTGAGACATGTAGAGATCATAAATAGCATGAAATGAAGAATTATCGTGTGCTCTTAGTTACTACTGCTCTGCATGTCAGCTCTGTACTAGCATTCTGCTCTATTTCTATTGCAATATCTTCTGGAGCCTCAGACCATAAAACAAGACTGTTGATTTTGTTTGCTTCTTTTCAGGCCTCCAGACAGTGGGGATATTCCGAGTTGGAAGCTCAAAAAAGAGAGTGAGACAAGTAAGTGAAAAATGAAGATTATAGTGTTCATTTCACTTGATGCTTAATGGAATTACCATGTGCAAAGTTCAAGCTTATGCAAATTCCTTTCTAAACATCTTTACCCTCCAACTGATTATAGTATAATTGGGTGCCAGGATATGAAGCAGCACAACTCAGAAGCTCTGAAAAGTTGTTATAGAGTTAGGATCAAACGGTTGAAAGAAAATGTCTGGAAGTATCAGTGCATTTTCAGCCAAAAAGAACTTTCATAAAAAGTTCACTGAGTCTGTTAAAGCAGAAAATTCCAAGAGTGCCAAATCAGTAAGTTATGATAAATAGAAAATCATTGCATAGAACCCATTTGCAGTGAAGTCTGATACAGCATTCTCATCACATACAATGCTGTTTATCCCTTCACTTTCTTTTTTAAAAGTAAGTTTATTGATACACCTCTGATTTACATAATGACCACATCATCATAGGGCATTTGTAATTGATCACAATACATTTTGATTCTTCTTTTGTTCCCTACTCCCCTTCCCTCCCTTCAACACCTCTTTCCCTCCCCATTGACAACAGTTTTGTTCCACATTTTTCTTTCTATTCTATTTTTTCCTCTGTTTTCCCTCTGTCCTCACCCTTGTTCCCCTTCTCTTTGCACATTTTCTTCCTGCTTCCCAATATCTATCATCCATTTTGTTCCTTAATAACCCTTTGGATTTTTCACATAAAGGAAACAATGCAATATTTAAACATGTGTGTCCAATTTGTTTCACTCGAAAGCATGGTCTCAAGGTGCATCCATTTACCTAAAACTGTGCACCCTTCGATAACTCAGCTGGTAGACTGGAGGACTGTAGCCCCATTTACCAAAAACTGCCTCAAGTTTATCCTTTTATGGCCAAGTAGTACTCGTTGTATATAAAAACAGCACTTTCTTTATTCCTTCATCCATTGGTGGGCATCAGGCCTGTTTCCAAGACTTAGCTATTACAAATTGTGCTCTATAAACATGGGTGTGCATATATCACTGTGGTATGATGCTTTTAACTCTTTCAGGGATATAACAAAAAGGAGAATAGCTGGGTCAAATGGTACTTCTAGTTTAATTTCTGAGGTAGTTCCATACTGATTTCCATAGTGATTGCACCAATTTACAATCCCACAAACAGAGGAAAAGGATTCCTTTTACTGCACATCCTCACCATATACATTTACTTCTCAAAAATAAATAATTCTTAAGTTTCCATGGAGCCATTGATCCCCAATTCAATTGTATACTCTCTGATTTTGTTACAACATTCTTATAAGAAAAGTTTGATATTAGACCATCAGGAACAAATTCTTCTGATCAGACAAATGTGTCTTCATGAAGGCTTCGTAAAAGGCAAATCATTCTCTAAAAACAAATCATTTGTTGGTCAAAGAAAATTAAAATGCCATTTTCACTCTGTTGTTTTCAACAAAAGTACATAAGGGATTCAGCAATTCAAAAATAAAGCCAAGTGAAAATAAGTTTTAGCTGGATGAAGCTGAAGAAATTATACTTGTTCATATTAATTGAAAGTGATTTATATAAATGCTCCCTAATTTATGTAATTTATATAAATGCTCGCTCTTTTGTTGAGCTAATGGGAACTTTGGAAAGAAGAGTATTTTCTGGTTGGTTTTTAAACTAGATGTTCACACAAAAGACTATTAAATATTTCACATTTTACAACAGGACTTGCAAGGAAAAGGAGAGTACAGCAACATTTCTTGGGCCCCTGCCTGCACAGCATTACAGAATATTTTCATAAATATCATCTCACTGAATCTGCGCACCAGCTATGCACATGGCTGCCTTTGTTCCCTGCTTTCAAGACTTAGAGAAATTTAGGAATTTGATTTCAGATCACACAATTTAACCAGCCACTCTGACTTAACAGGCAAAACTCTTTCCACAGTCCATTCTTTCTGCATGTGTGCGTGCTCAGAAAAGAAACAGGGTGTGTCTGAGTAATAATCACAGAGTCTTGCTGGTGGTAAGGCTCTTTACTCATAGTGAGTTGTCTGGAATCAATGAGTGGATCAGGGCAATGATAGGATTCTAATCAAGTGGGCAGATGACAAGTGCCAGAAGATATTCACCACTTGTGTCTGGATCCACCAAAGGGAAAACTCTTTGCATGGACTTTTTTTTAAGGTTTACTCAATAAAAATATTAGTGATTACTAGGAGTTAGATTCTCAGTATGAAATGTATTCTAATGCACTCACCATTTTATTTGATTGTGCCACATCATAGTACCCTGCACTTTCTCTTCAGGAATGCTAATCAAAACTTTAAATTTGTAGGATTATCACCTTGTCTCTCTACTAGTCTGACAGATGGAGGAGGGTAAGGATTTTGACTCCTCTCTTTGCCTTTACCAGTGTACCTTTAAGGCCAGTAATAGGGCTTGGTGCACAGAAAAAAATGCAGCAGATGTTTGTTGAATAAATGGACAAGTGACTGATAGAACAAACATACTATTATAGAAGTTTATGACACTATGAAGAGCCACAGACTTTCACTGCTACTTCTACAACAGAGAACAATGCATAAGAATAGTTAAAGCAAAAGCAGAGTGTGGAGTTCTTATTCTTTTCTTGCTGTTGTGTTTTCCAGCAGCTACAAATGTTAATGGGCTTATGATTAAGGCAGGAAATTTTTCTGGTAATTGTTCATAAGGTTACTTTAACAAATCTAACACAGCTTTTGTTTAGATATGGTCATCTTGGAAGCCTTAGTCATGAATATCTTATCAGGATTTCTAGTGTAATTGTTTGCAGAATAATACCCTTGCATTCTTGCTAACTTTAGCAGACAATCAAAATCCCATCATAGTAGGATTGGTGGCATACAGAACTCTTGTGTATTGGGCTAATTCCTCCCTTCCACATTCACCAGAATTCTGTTCTGCTCCCTACCCTCTTTTCCCCAGCCTTCCCACTGACCTTAATCCTTCAGCTTACGTCATTAATAGCAAATCCCCTGATTGTATATATATATATATATCATAGCCGAGTTGTGTAGACTCTGTAGAGCAAGATGGCATGTGGTTTGTTGAGACTTAATACTAGGTGCCCTGTATCAAAACATGTATTTTGATGAACACTTAACCCTGAAGTAAGGTGTTGTTAAGTGACTGCCACTCAACACGTTCTTGTTGCAGTTACGTGAGGAATTTGACCGAGGGATCGATGTCTCTCTGGAAGAGGAGCACAGTGTTCATGATGTGGCAGCCTTGTTGAAGGAGTTCCTGAGAGACATGCCGGATCCTCTTCTCACCAGGGAACTGTACACGGCTTTCATCAACACTCTCTGTACGTAATACAGCCATATTTATGGGAAATGTCCTTGAAATACCAGGATGTCCAGCTTACTCATCAAAACTTTGTACATGTACTTTCTGACAGCTGTTTTTGTCCTTATTTATCAGTCTCTAATGAGTGGGATATTTGGGAAATTTTCTGAAATTTACCCTGGGGAGAATTAGCAAGAAGAAAGTAGCAATAAAACAAATGGAAATGTCCAAAAATTTGGGATGCTTTCAAAAGTCCCCCAAGACAATACAAAGTGCTGTAAATTAATGACTTGGAGTGCCAGTGAGATTTCTTGCTGAATCTGTGCCTAAATATGAATTGGTGTTTCTGATATGAGGAAGTCCAGAACTCAGAATAACTCAGAATGAGAAAGAGAAACAGGCAGCATTTCAAGAGAAGCAAAATGTCATAGCCAACTGGACTTTTAAGACTTTTAGCATAGTGACTTCTGAGCTATAGATAGAGACCCAGGGGAAAAGGAAAGGAGGGTGGAGGAAGGAAGGATAGGTCAGAGCTGTGTCAGTCTGAATACACTTCTTTCTCTGATGCTGTGACTTCAATGAGATCACAACAGAGAGAAGACAGTGTCTTTGTGATGTGCCTTGAGTATTATCAATGAAAAATTTCCCCCTGTCTATTGCTCAACAGAAAAGGGCCTCAAATCCATTATAAACTCAAATTTCAGAGCATCTACCAGTTCTCAGCAATATCTTTACCGACAAGTGACTGAAATCCATTAAGTCTGCATGAGAAATGCCAGAGAAAAGACAGAGAAGAAAGTAAGGAGAATGGAGTTACCTTTCTCATAATTGCTCTAGGTGATACATTTCTCCAAGTCTAATTGTTTTTATATCTGTCAGAGGGTCATGTGGCTAAGTTGTTAAAGCAATGAGAGAATGGATGAAGGCATGACATTGCACTTGCCTTGCTAAGCTCTTCCTTAAGGCAGCTGAGAGGAGGTCTTTCCTCTTTTCTGCCTCAATGGCTCAAGCTTTCCCTACTCTTACTTAGAACACTTCTTTCTGCCTTGCACAGTGTTGGAACCAGAGGAACAGCTGGGCACCTTGCAGCTCCTCATCTACCTTCTACCTCCCTGCAACTGCGACACCCTCCACCGTCTCCTACAGTTCCTCTCCATTGTGGCCAGACATGCCGATGACAATGTCAGTAAAGATGGGCAAGAGGTATGACTACTTTGCTGCTGTAGACTCTGTGATTCATCCTTTCTCCAGTTTTCAAAGGGGCGAAACAGCAATATGACCGAGTATTTCAGCTGGAGAATATGATACCTCCCCATCTCTGATCTATCTATTTGGGAAGAGCCTTCCCTAAAGGGGCAGTTCTTAGGAAGCACATCAGCTATTATCTTTTGTGTGTTTCAAGGATTCTTGCAAGTGAGGTCACCATTTCCCACACTGATGCTTTATTGAAGACCTTGCATTCCATTTGTGAGAAGACAGACAGTAGCTGTGGAGGCACTCATACTTATATAAAAACATATTAGTGGAGGTGAGAACAGGTTACCATCCTTGATACTACTTTGATCTGTATAACTTGGAGTCCAAATCCAAATACAGTAGTCCCTCTATTCATCCAGTTTGTCCCTGGAGCTCTCATTTACACTATAGCAAGAAATCCAGTATCTCCTATTAGACAAATTCTTTCTGTCTGTAAAACTTATCCTCAAAATAGGGACTTGCTGAATGCAGTGAGGGTCCTTCCTGCTTCCAAGCCAGATTTAGAAGAGACTGGAAGGTCTGATCTTTACTATTGCACCATTTTTTCCTATTGATGGTACTCACAATGGAAACCAGGACTTGATATGTGCTGCGAGACTGCTCTATCACTGAGCTACATCTGCAGACCTTTTGACATGGCATTTTGATGTCCCCTGGTGTTAACTACTAGAGGCAAATTCAACATAGTCCCATGGATTCTTTAGGCAAATTCTAGGTCAGCTTGGTCCCAACTCAGGCCCCTATGTGATGTCTCTACCCCCAAGAATCTGAGGTCTGAAGTTCTGGCTCTCTTTGGTCAACACTGATGCCTCAAAGTATTTTTATCTTTTATTTTATCTTTAGACAGATGAGACACTGGCCTCCATTTTAAGTGGTCTATGAGAAGACACCATATTTAGCCTTCCCTTCCACAGGAGACCCCTTCCCCTTTAATCACATGCAGTCACACTTCTCCCTGACATTGAATGACCCAGGGAGTCTCAAACTCTTTAATATGCTAACACACTTGGAAATCAATAAGGGGCAAGAGACATTCACAACTTACTCAGCCACAGGAACTGAAATCCCTGGTAAGCAGAGCTCAGCTGTATTATGTATTCGGTTCTATGCTTATCAAATCTAGTTCCCGAAGGACATGTCCGTATATAGTTTTTTTCACTCTAGTCAACAAAGGCGATCCCACATACCGTATTCTTCTCCTCCTCCCTGTGAGTGTGAGAATGGAACTTCCCTGAGTTAGTCATTTGTCTCCATAGGAGTTATAATTAGTGGAACCCTGTTGGCTTCAGGTTTTGTAATGTTGTCCTGACACCTTATTTTAGCATATGCAGCCCTTCGGTGGTAGACTATAATTTTCATAATTGTTACGTAGTTATATTTACCCGTCTAGATATCAGTCTTTATTGACTGCAAATATAACAGAAGCTATGGAGTCAGCTATGGCTGAGTAAAGACAGAGTCCCGTCTTGGAAGATATACCAATTGCCTCTCTGACATTTCTTAAGTACTACGTGAAAAGGAGAAAATTGAGTCTCTGGTGATTAAGAAGATTAAGATTTCCTCAATATAAGAAAAGCAAAAAGTCCAGTTGAACTCATTGTTTCTTTGAAAATAATCCTTGTAATTCTTTCAATGCAAAGACTATGTGATAAAGAAGACATTCTTTGATAGGTATAAATGGAACTTTTCATACTGGAATGCTAGCTAACATTTATGCCTTGTCTACCAGTTGATAGTTTTGTACCAGATAGATAGATAGACAAATGGAGAGTGGCTAATTCTCCTAATAGCAAAAAAGAGACATCATTGTCCTCATGTTTCAGAGGTAAAATCAGAGAGCCAAAGAAGTTAGGTAACTTACCAAGCATGTTCATTTAGGGTCAAACAAAGTGGCACATCTGTGCCTTTCCCAATTCTGGGGGAGATGTCATGTGTGCTACAGTCACTGTGGATTTGCAGAGTTATTAGCACAATATCCCAGAAAATGACAGTAGAAGATCTTAAAGATCCTCCTTGTTCTATTTCTCACAAAGTCAGTGTATTGGCCAGTGGTCATGTTGGCTCCATGACTAGTAAATGCCCAAATATGCTTCAAAGCCAAACCAGCCTGATTTACTAGAAAAATAAATATAGAATAGAATTTAGAAGCGATACAGTAAAACTCTCTTGGTATCTAGTTTAGAGTTTCCCAGCTTTTTCACAATGGTATTTGAGGCAAAGCCATCCCCTGCTGTGAAGGCTGCCCTTGCCTTGTAGGTTGTTTAGCATCATCCATATCTTCTAGATATTAGATTCCAATAGTAGCATTCACCCACCTACACACACACACACACACACACACACACAAGCTGTGACATACTAATACACTTCCAAACAATGCCAATTTCCTCCTTAGATTGAGAGGAAATATAATCATCTGTAGTTGAGAATACCTAGTAGTTCTCTAATTCACTGACAATGTGTTCTTGGGCAAATCTATTAAAATTCCCAAACTTGGGTTTCCTCATCTGAATTTAGAGAATAAAAGTACTTCGTTTAAGAGCCAGACATGGTGATAGGCACCTGTAGACTCAGCTACTAGGAAGCAAAAGGACTGATTGAGTTCATGGGCTTGAGACATATCAAAATTCCTCTAAAAATCAATCAGTCTGTCACTCAATGTTTAACTGGTATTGTGCAGTGCTTGGGAAGCCTAGTTTACTTTAAAGAATATGACAACACTTCGATGTCCTTGACTTAAACCTTGCTTCAAAATGAATGACTAAAAACCAATGATTAAAACACTGGGGGGATTAGAAGGATAGTATTGCTTTCTTGAAAAGATTAGAAGTGACAGAAAAGCAAGCAGCTTGTGAAGCCATAATAGACTCAAGAAAAAGAGTACAGGACAGAGGAGTACTGAGGGGGAAAACAGGAAATTGGGCTTCGCTCATACCGTGCTGAATGCCTCTGTGGGGGTAGGTGGTTGTGGTTGATTCCTTTAAGATGTGAAACTTTGGAAGGATTTGCTAACAGGTGATATAACCCACACTATAGATGGTTTAGAGGCAGAAGGAGCGTAAGTCAGGAAGCTCTGGTATCACTGGTAATATGGAAAACAAGTTTCCTTATAAATGTTTCCATTTAAGAATGGCCTTGGTATTTGAATCATGTGTGTCCTCAGCACCTGCCCTGAGCTCTTCTAAAGCAGTGATTGTTGCTCAGGAATTTTCCAGTGGCTGTTCCAAGGATGCTGTGGCCTCTAAGGTGGTGGAGGAGATGAGGATACAAGACAAATGTAAAATCAGGGAGTGCATACAGAGTGACTGCGGAAATTTAGTGAAGGAACGCACATGGGGTAGAGGAGTTTGGAATGGCCCCATGGAGAATTGACAGAAAATATGCAGCAAATGTTGTGTAGGGATTGAGTAGATGGGCCACAAAAGCATGCCACAGAAATAGGAGTTATCTATACCCCTGACAGAAGTGAAGGGTGGAGGGAGGGGAACAAAATGAAGGTTCCTTATTTAGTATATTTTTTTAGTGGGTTGGACATGTGTTAGTAGAGAACACAGAATGGATAGACTAGAGCAAGGGTAAATGTAAAATGTAAAATATGATCCAGAAATAAAGCATTTCTTAACTTCCCTTACATACTTTTGCTAGGATTATCTATTTGTTAGCTTGTTGTTTTATGGACTGAAGCATGAAAAAGACCTAAATCAAATTGTGGAAAGGCTTAAATAATCACACAGGCTATGCCAGAAGCTTGCTCCATGACCTTGTCTTTGTGAAAGAGAGGAAGAGGAAGGAAAACAGAGCTGGGGCCAGAGAAGGCCTGACCTTCCTCATCTATGAAATGAACATACCATTTCCTCTCTAATAGGTGCTTAAAATTCAATATATCACTTGCTGATGGGTTGTTAAGAGTGTCTAAAAGAAGTTATGAGAAAACTTGTTCACTAATTATTGCTTTTTTGGAGAATTGTGCTTTTTTACTGAATGGTGGTGTTTTGCCAATTTATGTTTGTTTTGTGTTATTAATTTTGTAGAATTTGTTACTTGTATTGCTGCTTAAAGAACAGACAAATTTCTGCTTTAAGATGAGAAAACTTAGTTATATAAGCATGAGTGCCACAGCTACTGTCTGTCTTCTTCAAATGTAAGAAACATGCCAAACATTAGTTTTCCAGAGTCTGAGACCCCTCAGCATTGCGTGGAAACTAAATGTGTACTTGTTCGATGAGGGAGTTCAGCGTTGGCACTGAGTTCTTTAGGGGTGTATGCTTGGGGCAAACTGAACCAATGGAGCATCACAATTCATGCCTCTAGGAAGTGAAAAGTTGTCTTTGGAACTTTGACACGATCAGTGCTTTCCTCATCTCAGCCTCCTCCAGCCATGCTTTAAAGCTCATTTTTCCAATTTCCCCATTGCCATGGTAGGATCAGCCACACAAGAGTGAACAGAAGGCCATGACAGAGACTGTAGGGCCTCTAGGGTCCCCTGAGGTGCAGCTGCCAGCTTCCCTTCTTGCTGGACCGCCTTGGGGCTTCAGGCATTACTGTTCTCCCATTCTGTTTATTAAATAGGACAACAACAGCAGCTGGTTCCTAAACTCAGAATGAAAAAAAAAAAAAGTTAAAATAGTCTGTGGGAAGCCCCTAGCTCAGTGTTTGTATACACTAGATTTTTAATACATGTAAGCTATTTTTATGGGACTTAAAAATGATCTAGGGTCCTTACGTAGTGAAGATAGACATTTGCCTTGAACTGACCAGCTAATTAAATCATGCAGTGTTGGCTTGGCTTCAAGTGCATGTATTATCTAACTATACCATATAGGTACAAACGTATGCTGAAACCTGGAGAGCAAGAGTGGAAGATGTCGAGGACCAAGACTCCTTTCCAGTGTAAAACACAATAAAACAACAAAACAAAACAAAAAGTGGTAACGAACCCCAGAAGTTTGGTCTGCAGCTGAAATCTATGTGCAATTTTACAGACGGGTTGTATTGCATTCCCAGAATAGCAACCAGAGAAGGAGAGAGCGGAAACAGAGCTCCAGATTGTCCTTGTACTAAACATTCTCTTAAAAGAAAACAAATTCTTCTATTTGTTAATGTTAAAGAAAAGGAGAAAACCCTAATATTACTTTAAAAGGGAGAGGGGAAGCCTTCCAGCCACCTCTGAGTTCTAAAGGAAGGAATCTGAAAATGACACATACTTTTTTTATCCTTAACCATGAATTAACGGGAAGGGAAATGAAAAATAAAATGAAAACTCCAGGCTTTATATCAGTGAAATTAAAAAAAAAAAATCAAAGGTCTGGTAAAAAAAAGTACTTTCCTTCTAGTGTTTATCACATGGGATGGTTTCTGTTGGTGACATAACATTTACTTGAAAAATAGCCTCATCTTTTATTTTATTTTATTTCATTTATTTTTTGTCTTTTTGAGACAGGATCTCTCTATGCAGCTCAGGCTGGCCTTGAGCTCATTTTGTAGCCTAGGCTGGCCTCGAACTCACAAGGATCTTCCTGCCTCAGCCTCTTAAGTGCTGGGATTACAGGTGTGAGCTGCCATACCCAGCTCAGCCTCACCTTTTAAAAATAAAGCAAACTGTGTGGCCTATCAGAGTTGCAGAGCAGGTTTGTCACCAGCTTTGGGCTACACAGAATAAGGGTGAGACTCCAGAGCCTCATTCTGACTGTTTATTAGGACTTGTGGATGCTATGTTGGATACCCACGCGTCTCTCAAAGGCTGTGTGTGTCTTCTGAGGAAAGCATTTCCATCCTGACAATCCTATGTTCTCAGCTAATACTATGAGAGAAGTTTAAAAAAATCACACATACTCATAGTTCTCAAACAGGGGTGAGGGTGTGGGGTACTACGAGCGTTTAGTGAGTAAAGATTATTCAACATCCAACCACACAAAGGGAAAGAATAATTTGGCCCCAAAGTCATTAGTACCAAGATAGAGAAACTCTGGCTTATAGAAATTTAGCCAAGTTCTCCCTTTCATGTGAAGAAAGAAGCAAGTAAAAACACAAAGAAATAAAAACAAAACAATACCCAAGCCTTTAAAAATTCTTGTATCCCTTATTGTGACAATTTGACTTGTAGAATACACTCCAAAGACAGTGCTCAGCCAAGCTCATAAAATGTCTTTTTTGAGGATATTTTTGTACTATGTTTTATAATAGCAAAACATTGAAAATGACATAAATGCCCATCATTTGGCTGTGCTTAAAATAAATCATGATTTGCTCATGCAACAGGATGCATTGGGCCAACACAGAGTGAAGAGAAAGGATATTTTGAAATTGAGAGATTAATATGCCATATTGTTAAGAGACAGTATACAAGTTACAAAATAATATATGGAGTTTGATGCCAGTTTCGAAAAAGAAATAATAATACGGATATATATGTGCATGCTGATGCATGGTGCTTGACTTAACTTTCAATGCTAGTCTTTTCAGCATCCATGTTCTCTGTCACCCCAGCTTTGCAAGCACTTCCTTTGTAATAAAACTGAAAACTTTCCACATTTGCTTTTGCTCCTGAATTTTTGCATAGATCTGGCTAAAATCTTCCAGCAGCACCCATGCCACAGAATGAATATTGGGATGCTTTGTAACTTCTTCTGCAAGATTAACTAGTCTACCACCTTTAAACTCAGTCTCCTTGAAAGTCCCAGGACATGGGCAAAATGAAGACAAACTTTCTGCCGGAAACAGACCTGCAGAAGGCAATAGTGGAGGTAAACTCATGACAACCAGAAAGGGGAGAGACAGAAAGGAGGAGACTGAGACAAGAATGCACCCTTTTAGGTCACACCTCCAGAGATCGACCTCCAAGCAGGCCCCAACTCCTAACAGCAAGTTAGGTGTAGCACTCCATGTTCCAATCACCTTCTAAACACGTGGGACATTTGGAAGACATTTTAGATAGAAATCATAACGGTGAATATGTGCATATCCACGTAGGGAAGCATATAAACAGCTGGCTCTTAGAAATAGTGGAAAATACGGGCATTTTTATTCTATATGCCTACCTGTGGTTCTTACTCATTAATGTAGTAAACATGATTAATTTCTTTCTACTTCAATCTAAAGGATAGTTCCTTTTGCCAGGCAGGCTGGTGCATGACTGTAATCCGAGCACTCTGGGGGGCTGAGGTAAGAGGATCATAAATTCAAGCCTAAGCTGGGCAATTTAGCAATGTAACAAGAATTTGTCTCAAAATAAAAATCAAAAAAAATTAAAGGTGTGGGGATGTAACTCAGTGCAAAAGCTCTGGTTTCAATCCCCAGTTCTACAGAAGAGAAAAAAATAGTTCCCATTCTTTATCCTACACTCCTCCCTTTTTGCTCCCCCGATCTTTGTTCTTTCTCCTTATCTGTGAGACCTTTTAAAGAAAGTGTCTCCTCCACTCACTGTTTCCACTTCCAGCCACACCTTCCAGCCTTGGCCCTGAGCTAGGCCAGCAGAACCATGAGAGCATCTGATCTGGAGGGGAGTGTCCTACGAGTATCTCAGTGAACATTTGCCACAGGGGCTAGCACCTTTGAAATCCCACTCCATTCTCTACACGGAATCCTCTTGCCTGAGTCACCATCTGAACTCCTTTCTCTCAGCTGGGTTTGTCTGGCTTTCCTGCAGCAGCCTCGCTCTATTTGGCTTCCCGGCACTCTTTGATGCATTTCACATGTTTGTCATTGCCTACGGTATTTTCTCCACTGTGAAACAGACTCCTGCCCCAGACCCTCTGCTTTTCAGTGTAGCATATTCTATTTTTCCTTTCAGATTATAGACAAATATTTCCATATCTGTAATAATGTTCCTGGAGTCTCTGGGATTGACAGTTTCATTCTTTGTACTGACTTCCCAGAAATGATGTTTATTTTGTTCCCAGAACATGAGGCCTCTAAAGTAAGGACTGTGTTTTGCTTATTGTCAGAAGAATTTTTAAATAATTAGAATCCACAAAAAATGCCTCGCTATGGTAGGTGCTGAGTGAATGGATCAACTGAGAGATTATGAGTTTGTGTGTGGAAAAAATGGAAAAAGATATGAATGCATGGGTGGATGGATAACAATATTTTTTAAGTGCAGACAGGTTACAAATTTTATCTAGTACCAGTTTCGCAATAAACTGTGGAGTTTTAAATTTTTGCTCAATATGCTAGTGAGATGACCATTGAGCTGTGATCTTTGATCCAAGATACAAAGCAAAAGGAAAATGATAGTTCTGCTTGTGGTTTCTAACAGAGATAATGTCCTTGCAAAGAACAAACAGAAAGAAAAAAAGTTTCATTAAAAATAAAACCACCAGCATTTTGGAAAGCAAGCATAACAACAGTCCTGATATTCTCTTCTGCAATAGGTCACTGGGAACAAAATGACATCTCTAAACTTAGCCACCATATTTGGACCCAACCTACTGCACAAGCAGAAGTCATCAGACAAAGAATTCTCAGTCCAGAGCTCGGCCCGGGCTGAAGAGAGCACAGCCATCATTGCTGTAGTGCAGAAGATGATTGAAAATTATGAAACCCTGTTCATGGTAGGTGACCTTTCAGTGGAAAGACATCTCAGTGAACTGCATATTGGTTGCTTGTGGTGTATAATGAAACTCAAATTCACCACCTTCTGATTCGCAGTGCCGGTAACTGACTATATTCATGGGAAGCCACATTGTTTCCATAGGAGTAGCCATTTTTGTAGCTGTTTTTTCCCTACTAGTTTGTGATTCCATGTTTAAACGAACACACATACATTGAAAACTTCATTTAGTTGTCCCTTAAACATTAATCAAATTTTGGAGTCATTTACTACAAAAGCAGCCGTCCTGGCTGAGAAAATTTTTTGATAAAAGCCTTCTTTTAAGTATACTATCTGCGGTCCTCATGAATTCATGTATTCATAACCAGAACTGATGACAGCACCTTGTCCAAGGTCAATCATGACATTCCACCTCCAGCATGAAATTTCACCTTTCCTTCCTGTGTCCTTCCATGTCACTACCATGCCACTTCTCTGTCTCTTGAACCCCATTACTGTCCTTATTAAATGTTTATCTTACTCAACATTGTGTTACGGTCATTTGTGATCATTTCCCGTAGTAGATTATATATCCATTTAAAACAAAGGCTATGCCCTTGTTATCTCCTCTCTGTATCCTCTGTATACTTTTGGAAGGCCCTCCATCTGGCAGACACTCAATAAATATTCTTTTGATTTGTATTGAGTTACCGGTTCCTGTTTTCCTCCATAAAACTGCATGATTTGCTCCAACTTCCCTTGAAACATTAGAAAAAATGCCAATTCCCTTCTGTTTCTGTTCTCCACTCACGTTGTGGGTCAAAATTTATAGGCACTTTCTCCATCCTTGTCCCATTTCTCTTGTCAATTGGCAAACATCATAAAGCCTGTCTGTCCCAATAGATCCTTTTTGTAGCCCTTCAACCAAGAAGGTTAATTGACTCTTGAATCTCCTCAGGAGTTGTAGCTATGCTCATCAAATGCCTTGTATTGGATTTATCTCCAAGCTTGTTTTAAGCAAGTGTTTTTATAAATTCAAGATCCAGTGGTTGAAAACAGTTGCCCTCTCTGTATTAACTAGGTGATTGTGACCAAGTAATTCAATACTCAGTGGGCTTCTATTGAAGCTCCTGTGAAAGCCCTAATTCCCATAGTGGTTACAAGATTGATTTGATGTGTGAAAGCATTATACAAACAGTAAAATTCTATGCAAGTGTTGATTACTAATTATGTTACTTGGACTACACTAGCTGCCTCATATCTCAATACTTTGACACCACAGACATAGTTTGTTGACATAATGTTTAATCAGATACGTGGCAAGTAGCCTTTTAGATGATGACCAAGCTAATCCCAGTTCCTTGCATCTTGAGACTCTGCCATCCCCTAGGATTATATGGGCAAACTAAGAAGGAGCATTTATTATATGTACCCAAACGCTACGGGTCAGAACTTAACTCCAAGAGGGCCTGGGAATGCATTTCTGGCTGGGTGCCTAGGAGGAAAAGAAAATGAATTTACCATGGAGAAAAAAATAATGTCTTGATCCTTTGTGTCCCTGAAGCATTGCCTCTGTGTTGCACGTGGTAAGTAGCTCTCAGAAATATTGATTTAATCATTGACTCTATATAAATTTCACACTTTACCCTAAATCCTAATTAATTACATATTTGGATGAATCAAATGTCTGAACTTTTCAACATTTTCATCAAGTTTTAAGTCACATATCATCTTGCCAACTAGTCTTGGCATTACTTCATGTTCTCTGAACTTTTTTTTTTAACACAATAATGCTTCTCATTGATCTTAATTCTATTTTCAAAATTCCATTTTGCAAGCGAAGTTTTCCTTTATGTGAAATCTCAAACCATTAGGCATTTCTTTTTACCTTGGACACTAACAAAACTTTCTTGAAATACAGCTGCTGTCATTTTAATTGAGCCATCCATCTTCTCCCCATTTCCTGCCACCTGAAATACCAAGAATAGCAGGAAAATATCAGCATTACCCTTTCCTCAACTTTTTCCCAATCTGCTTTGTTTATAATTCTCTGTAAGGATTGATGTCGAGATTGTCTTGTGTCATAGCTCATATTTGACTTCCCACGTTATGGGCTTTCCTTCTTAAGGAAGCTTTTGTTGACCACCTTATCTAAAATGCAGCTACTCCACTACCAGCACACACACACACACACGCCCACACACACACACTCACTTCATGTTCCTATTTCCTGTTTTTTCACTTTAGAATTCACCATTAATGGAAAAGATTTTTTTAAAAAATATTTTCTATTTATTCCATTTCCTCACTAAAATGTAAGTTTTCATTCATTTCCATCCACTTAATTGCATTATTTCTGCATTAGGGGTATGTAGGGACAAAAATACACATTAAAGTAATGATTTGATGATACTTTTTAAATGTATAATCTTCATTTTTCCAGTCCTTACCATTTGCATGTGTGGAAAGTTTTAGATATGAGAGGATTAAGGGTATCTGCTCAACAGTTAGTTAACCACTAATTAATCATTCATTCTTTCCTTGGATTATGAGAATTATATACTGAGAGCTGGGTACATAGCTCAGCAGTACAAGTGCTTCCCTGTTAAGCATGAGGTCATGAGTTTGATTCCTGGTACCCCCCCCCAAAAAAAAAGACTGAAAATTGTATACTGGGAAAAAAAAGAACAGTAGAATAGGACGGGAGGCAAAGATTTCAAACCTGGGTCCATAAAAAGAAACTGAGACCAGAAAACTTTGCTGCAATCCTGTCTGCTATCCCTTATCTATGTTACCACACCTTCTTTGATTTCTATTTCTTTATTTATCCAAGGACGGTGCTGGAACGAATCCCTTCTACTTCTGAAATCGGCATGGTTCATTGCTCTAGTACAGTAAATGGCAAACGCTTTAGAGCTTTCAATAACACATACAGCTAGCAGCCGCACATGTGCCATGGGTTTTCCACCACTGCTCTAATATTTCCCTTCTTAGAGTTCCAAAATGCAGGAAAAAGTTAATTTCTTCACATTGTGCATTTTCTGAACATTCTTGGCAATTCAGAGTCTAGTTGGTTATGCCAAGGCTGGTGGTTAGGTGGGTAAAGCTGGTCTGTGTGGACGGACAGAAATGTGTTATGTGTTTTTATATATACATACATAATTTCTTTTGATTTGTTGTTTTAATAAGCTCTTGGAATTATTACAATTTCAAAGAAGCAAATGGAAGACTATACAAGACCTGATGGTTAAAGGTAGTTAGCAACTGTACAGACTCATAATCTTTGGAAGAGTTTCTGACATCAGAAATGAAGCTGCCAGTTTCATTGGAACTGGAAAATAAGATGTGTTAGGCGAGGTGGCTGTAAGCTTGTCTTTGAAGGCAAAATGCACTGCAGAGTAATGATTCCACAGAAGAACTGGTGGATGGGACCTGGAAGCCCCCAAAAGTCTGAAAGGAGCTGCAAGTCTGCGCTCAATGTCTTTCAATACCCGAGACTGAGACTGGCTGTCTCATGTGGCTGGAATCAGACTTAACGGGAAAGGACAGAAAAGAACCCGGCATTGTCACACAATGCAGATTTAGAGATTCACACACAATTTGAGAGTCAGACCAGAGGTTTGCTTTTTTATGCACTGATTTGGAAATCCTATGCCTCTAAATACTTCATGATAACATCATGACCACTCTATCAAAAGACCAAGGCTGGATGCACGTTATACTAGCAGTTCTCCAAATTAAGCCATGCAGCAAAGTTCACAAGGAGACTTGTTAAACATTCTGAATCCCAGGCCTCGCTACAGAAAACTGAATGGAGTGGCACTAGTATGGGGCTGAGAAATCTGTATTTTCTAATGAACCCCTCCAGAGATTCTGGCGGGCTCCTACACACACCTCAGGAGACCACATGCTGGGAGCCACTGGTAGTTTGGAAGGACTGTCAGGTTTGGAATGAGTTACCAAAATTCACACTGTTGCATAGCCATTTATTTGCTATGTGATTTCTAGTACATTTCATTTTCCTCTTGTGAAAAAAAAAAAAAAACAGGTAAAGCAACCAGCTTTATAGGATGGTTTCGATAATTAGAAGCAACATTTTAAAGTTACTGGGATAAAATTGAAATATCCTGGGTACTTAAAAGAAAAGAATTGTTGTTATAAAACAGTGAAGTGATGTGATGCCTGCTTTATTAAAGCACAATTGGGTGTCACCTTGGAATTAAAGCCCACACTGACCCCTGGCACTCTGCTCCCACATATGCTCCTAGTTCCTTACCTTGATCTCTTCCTTTTTGCTGCAACATTTATCCCCTTTTAACTTGTTTTAAAATTTATTTATTCTAAGTCAAAACCTAAGAGAATACAAACCTTATAAAGACAGGGATTCTTGTTTGTTCTGTTCTCTGACATCCAGGCACCTAGAAAGTACTTGGCAGAAGAAAGCTCTCAGTAATAATTATTTGTTAAATAAATACTACACGTCTATATTACTATAAGAAAATGTGCTAGTGTTGTTGTGTTGTTTGTTTGGGTTCCACTCACATCCCTGAGACTTCTGTATCATTATCCTCCACCACTTTGGGTATAACAAACTATTTAAAAACTGCCTAGCTTAAAATGGCACTTTGTGGAAAACACTGGAAATAAAAGCTAAAAAATCAGGCATTTCTAGAAGTATCCATTGGTGATTTGTAAGTAGAAATCATTCACTGACCAAATCATCAGCACACTAATTGTTCCAAAATTTACTGCTTCTAAAAGTGGTATTGAGATTGCCAGAGTAAAATACCATTGTTCTTGGATAATAAGCACTTCATAAAAAATAGAGAAAACAGTGATAGCTTACTCTGCTGGTGGATATTACATGATTTCTATTAGGTCTTTTATTTTAGAGAAGGGAGAAGGAGAAAAAGCCCCACCCTTGTAGCCTCACAATGAATCTGGGGCGCAATCGAAGTGTGGGAAAGCCAGAAAGTTCCCACTTCACTGCCCATCAATTTGAGCTGGAGACTTGCTCAGTGC